AGGCGGGAAGGTGGGGGGGGTGGGTGAGGTTGAGGTTGAGTTTGGGGATGGGGTTGAAGAAAGGGGAAACCTTTGAAATTTGGTTTTCACATTACTACATATATATTGATATATTTGCTTGAGCCATACGGAGATGCATGTAAAGCTGAAACTTGACATGGACGCTGAGTTGAGGAAAAATGTCAAGTTTTAGGTACATGCCCTGGGGGAATATTATTTGGGGGGTGACGTTTTCAAATGATAACTTTTTTTTGCCCTACCGAATCGGGCAGAAATAGAACGGCGAAACTCGGCACATTCATAATTCAGACGATGTTGAGTTCAGAAAAAAAGAAATAGTTGTGCATAACCTGAGGGCGCAGCTTTTTGTTGGATCGACTTTTCCGAACATATTTTTTCACCAGTGAAAAGGACAAACGAATGAGGCTGAAACTTGCTGGATCCGTTGAGTCCGACCTCCAACCTCCTCACCTGTCACCTGTCCCACGTATGAGGCATGTGGGGAGGCTCATCGGTACGCGGGAAATTACCGGGGCGGAGCGACCGATTCCGATGAAATCGTTCGGCGAGACGGAAGTGATGAAATAGGAGATATTGCTTCCGTTCTGGAGTGGGATTCCCTTTTTTTAGGGTCGGGATGCAACTCTGTTTCCCTTGCCTTACGTGAAATTTTGTGATGTTTTTCCTTGAAAATTTAATTTAATACTGAATGCAATGCTATGGCACGTAACTATAGCCTTTCACGAAAGGCAATAGGGATGCGTTCGTTTCGGCGGAAAAGTTCGATTTCGCAGATTCGCCGATGGCTTGTGGATCGAAGGCCGGCCGAGTCTCTCGCGATGAGAACTGGATCGACGAATTCGACGAACTCGGAAGCGGTCCGGAAGGACGCGGTTCCGGGGGTGGAGGTTGTAGCTACTACAGCTACTATTATCCTTGCTACGAATCCGGGACGACGACGGGAGTCGGGAGCGCCGTTCGGGGAGTCTACGCTTGGTTCGCGCGCCTCTTCGCCGACTGGTTTTCTGGGAGGTCGCAGGCGGAGCGGGGATCGTTTCGGGCGGTGTACCGCGAAGCTCAGGACCCGATCCCAAGACTTCGGCTGTCGGCTGGAAACTCGGGCTCGGGGGACTCGGGCTCGGGGGACTCGGGCACGGGGGACTCGGGCTCGGGGGACTCGGGCACGGGGGACCCGGGCTCGGGGGTGGGCGTCGGGGAAGCCCCTTTCAACGTCCTTCTGCACGTTTTCTTCCCTGCTACCGGGTGGCGGACGTGCGCAGGTACCGTCATCAACGAGGGGAACGTCCTTACTGCTGCCCACTGTCTCACGAACCGGTGGGTTTCGTCTTTTTCCTTCAAAACGCACGCTCGGGGCAAAAATTTCTTACGTTTTAAAAATTCTTCAGTTCCAGTAAAATAGTCATATATATAAAGGAATACATCCGATGAAACTGTATCAGTAGAACCATCTGGGCCTTCTTTGACTCTAACTGCGCCAGCCATGCGTAATCACTAGATCTCTTTCTCGAAACACCAGGTACGAAGAATCCTTGGGAGGCTACGTGATTGCGGGAAAAACGCATAACCAAACCGTGGAGCCCGGATCCTTGGGACAGGTGAAACGGTTCAGGTCCTTCGCCTATCACAGAAACTGGAACCCGAGTGAGTCCTCTACCGAGTCGATGGTTCGGTCTGCGAAATCGTCTGGAATTGAAGGAATCGGCGATGGAATCGGATTGCAGGCCGGCCGTCGAGAGGATTCGACATCGCGATCGTTCATCCGGAAGGAGGCTTCGTCCTCGGCGATTTCCTCCAGCCGATTTGCATTCCGGACTCGGACGGGGATGACACGAGTGGATGCGGGAACTACGTCTTCGGCTTGGAGGAGGCTCGTGCCGATGAGGGTAATGATCGTCGACCGTTGCTGATTCGTTTGTCTCGTTTGGCCGATCTTGGTCCGAGGAGTTGATGCTCTGTAGGTGGAAGCAGATCGTCGGGGGTTTGGGACCGAACGAGCCTCATGTGGAGACTCGGTGTCTCGTCGCTGTCTCATTAGTCTTTTGATGTGCTGAATGAATGGAGGAATTCATTAGGATGACGGGGCGCTTTGACGGTGGAGGAAGCTGATATTTTGGCATTCCGTTCTACTTTTATGTCGTTCCGTGATTTTACTTTGTAGGATGGGGAATGCGAGTTAAACGTGGTACTTATAAGATTGAAACGGAATTCGTTGCATCATCGTCACCGAAAGGATGATATTTTTCCCTCCCAAGATCCGAAGCTGAAGAGACTGGACGCCACCGTGGAAGGTTCCTGCTCCGCGCTCGGGGCGCTGCTGCCCGGAGGGATGCAGCGGGATCGGCGCCTCTGCGTCCGACGGAGGGAGGCCGGGCAGGGATCATGTGGAGTGAGAACTTTTCGGCCTCTTTCGAATCGGCGGGGAAGCGAAGCAGACGCTGCTATTTGTTAGTTTTTGCAGGTGGGTGGTGGCTCGCCCCTGGTGACGGATTACCGTGGGCGATTCTTCCAGACCGGGATCATGTCCGTTTGCTCGGCCGGCGACAGGTCCGTTCCCTTCACCAGGGTCTCCCGCTTCGCCGAGTGGATCCGAGCCAACCTGAAATGAGGCTTGGTCCGCGGACTTCGAGGACATCCAGGGACATTATCGGCGCTGGACTCCTTTTAATATCTGGGTCAAACTTGCTCCTGTATTATTATTTTTTGCACCTGCACGGAACCTTTCACTCTTTTGCTTATTTATTCCACGTTCATCATTGCACGTTCAACGGGATTCATTTAGAGAGTGAATGCTTCAATCAGTCAAAAAGCCAATAAAAGTTTGTTTTTCTGGTGTATTCGTACCGCCCAAACCATATGGCAATTATATGCCACAGTTTTTTAATATTCCGTATCGAATGTTACGTTATAATGCCTCATAAAATAATTAAAATTAGAAACTGGCTCATGGTCAGTCTAAATGAATGCATTTACTGAAGGAAACATGGGACAAAAATTGATTCTAATGCCGGCCAAAGGTGATCCCCATCTCGACTTGGAGAATTGGAGCTCCCACTTCCCAAATGCGTTTCAACGAGCCGTCGAATGGCATGCATGCACAACATTCCATT